GAGAATTGGGAAAAACCTAGTGACTGATAGAGTTCCGTTATAGAAGTGTTAGAAGTTAATCAACAAAAGAGAACCAGTAAAATCGGTATATGTCTCAAGGGTTTAACTAAATGATACTTACCTTCTACCAACATTATGCAGAGACGACAGTACTACTGTAGTAACAGACTCGCCGATCGCGCACACGACAATATACAGTATAAGGATGCATAGGATATAAATGCGAATGTTATTTATCGATCAAATTGATAATGGTATAATATAACCAATTTTTGAGGATCAATAAAGGGAATAACTCCAAAAATATTGCCTTTACTTGACATGACACTGTTAAGATTTTTCGATAGTCCAAGGTCCGCAATTTTTACGTCTCCTTGCAAAATTAATACGTTTTTTGTGTGCTAAATAAAATAAACAAAATAAATTATTTTATGAATGACGACTTTACAAAAATATATAGTAGTATGATACTAAATCACGGTGTGCTACTTTCATCACGTTATGGATATAAGACAACCCTTCTGATAATTAAATTGCGATTTCTATTTTTTTATCCCATTGAAGTTCCTTTTTGTCTGTTATATATTTCTTAAATGACAACCGGCGAGTTCAATCACAAGATAGCATAAATCTTCATTTTCATCTTTGTAATTAAACACCGTTAATTTATAACTTTATTTAAAAAATAATCAGATGCTTATTATGAACTTTCTGACCATATCGCATTCCAAATAAATCAATAACACGATGGTTTTTGACCCTGCTATGTAATTTTAACTAAAAATAAAACAAAAAATTTACTAATAAATCTTACCGAAATGGGCGATTTATCGATAATATACAAACCTCGTTAAAGAAGGACTTAATAGATGTTTCATCGCCAACAAATATTTTTTTTGTTGCCACCATTCTTGAATCTCCGTCAATATTACACCTATACACGTAACCAAATGCTTCTTTTCCAATCCTTTTCCAATCCTTTTCCAATTTTTTAATTTTACTATAGGAATATTGTTCAATTCGTATTCGGTAATAGCACATTGAAACAATCTTTTATTTTCATCCATCTGTGCGCATGATTTCAAATAGCGGCAATATGATGAGGGTATGTAAAAGTTTTTTTAAGAAAATCAATACAGTACTTTCAATTAATGCTTTGATCATCAACATATATAGACTATTTGTACACAATTTCTTTTATCGAGAGTGTTTATTAACATAATTATTAATTATTAAATTAAATTTTTGTTAATAATCGTATAGCATTAATGAAATTAGATTAATATAGTATATGCGTAGCACATTTTTAAATTTAGTTGGTACTGTAGCACGTTTTACTGCATAAACAAGTCACGGGCCACCAGTCCATGATTTCCTTAAAAAAAAAAAATCTAAATATTGTACTGTATACAGTAGTATGTACATGACGTACGGTCTATTTAAAATCAAACATGCAGATGGATGAAAACGAAAGATTGTTTCAATGGGCCATTACTGAATACGAATTGAACAATATCCCTATAAGAAACTTAAAAAATAAGAAGAGGATAGGAAGAGGATCTTTCGGTAACGTGTATAGATGCAATATTGACGGAGATTCCAGAAGTGTGGCAATAAAAGAAATGTCCGTCGATGAAGATAGTGACACATCTATTAAATCCTTCCTTAATGAGGTTTTTTATCTTATAAATAAATCACTCGTTTCGGTAAGATTAATTTATAAATATTTTGTTTTATTTTTAGTTAAAATTACATAGCAGGGCCAAAAACCATCGTATTATTGAGTTATTTGGGATGAGCTATGGTCAGAAAGTTCATATTGAGCATCGAATTATTTTTAAATAAATGTTATAAATTAACGATGTTTTAATTACAAAGATAAAGATGAAGATTTATGCTACCTTGTGATGGAACTCGCTGATTGGAATTTGAGAAAGTATTTAACAAACAAAAAAGACGAACTTCAATGGGATGAAAAAATAGAACTCGCAATCCAATTAACAGAAGGGGTGTCTTATATTCATAATGTGATGAATGTAGCACATCGTGATTTGGTATCGGACTTCTGTATATTTTGTAAAGTTATTTATTCATAAAATTAATTATTTAATTATTTATTTTTTAGCACACAAAAAACGTTTTAATTTTGCAAGGAAACGTAAAAATCGCGGACTTTGGACTATCAAAAAATCTCAGCAGTGTCAATTCAAGTAAAAGCAATGTTTTTGGAGCTATTCCCTTTATTGATCCTCAAAAATTTGGGAATTCTAGTCATAAAATAGATACTAAATCCGATATTTACAGTCTTGGTGTGATATTTTGGGAAATTTCAAGTTGCATCCCACCATTTTATCAACAAGATAATACCTCCATTATTAATAGCATTATTCAGAATGTACGGGAAGCCCCTGTTATTGGAACACCTTTATCCTTTATTCAACTTTATTCCAAATGTTGGGATGCATCGCCTTTGCCTCGTCCCACTGCGGCTCAGATTCTTAATGAACTTAAATCTTTATCTCTCGATCCAATTTATAATGGTGATAACTTTGTTAATAACGAGTTGTCAAATACAAGCGGTGAATATTAAATTCTTTAGTTAAATTTTAGAATGCTACTTTTGTACTAATATATATCCAGATAGACACAATTATTCCGCGGATATTTTTGAAGAATCTTTTGATGTAAGTAAAGCAAGGTTGAGTAACTGAGTAAATAATATTCATAATATTTTTTCATTTAAATAGGACAGCATGAGCAGTGATTTAGCAAAGTCTGATAGAAAGTAAGTATAAAGTTTATAATAATAGGGGTGTTTGCTGGATAATAAAATTTATTAAATATGCAGAAAAATATGAACTGTTGTATTTATTCCTCATAATTAACAGTTTAAATTTATTTATTAATTGATGAAAAGCGAAAGAATTTTTATTAACTATATTTTTTATTATTATACATGTACCTCTTTGAACGATTGTTAAATCAATAGAACGTATGATAAGGCTTTATAAGTTTATGCTGACTAAAATTTATTCCAAAATAACTCCGCGAACTAATTATAAATTTAACAATTATTGCAGCGAGTGAGCAAAATCTTATGATTACTATATTAATAATATTAAATTACTGGATAACTAACATATAATTTATTTTATAACGATAGCAGGTAAATCCAAAGTTTATAAATTTGCACTTTTTGATATTTCACTCATAAATAACTTCAATTGTTAATTGATAACGTAATAGCCGGTAAGTCTAAATTTTATAAATTAAAGCTCCATTCACAAATAATTATATAACTAATTATTTTAATAACACATTAGCTTGTAAGTTTAAAGTTTGGGCTTATTACTGTTTTATTCCTAAATAATTAAATAACTATATTTAATGACACAATAGGCAGTAAGTTCATGTTTTAAGTTCGTAATAATTTATATTGTATTCATAAAAAACTAAATAACTTTATTTAATTATACAATAGGGAGTAGGTTCAAGTTTTAAGTTCGTGCTCATTAATATTCCATTCCTAAATAACTAAATTTTTCTATTTAATGGCACAATAGGGAGTGAGTTCAAGTTCAAGTTTTTGCTTATTGATATTCCACTCCTAAATAACTAAATAACATTATTTTATGATAAAATAGCTCGTAAGTTAAATGTTTATGTTTGAGTTCATTATAATTCATTTCTAAATAACCAAATAACTCTGTTTGATGACACTATAGTCCGTAAGTTTAAGTTTAAAACTTGCGCTCATTGATATTAAATTCCTAAATAAATAAATAACTCTATTTAATGACACAATAGGGAGTAATTTCAAGTTATAAGTTCGTGCTTATTAACATTACATTCCTAAAAAATAACCGAATAACTGTTTATGGCACAATAGGGAGTAAGTTCAAGTTTTAAGTTTGTGATCATTAATATTCCATTCCTAAATAACTAAATTACTTTATTTAATTACATTATAGTCTGTAAGTTCAAGTTTTAAGTTTGTACTCATTAATATTTTATTCCTAAATAACTAAATAACTAAATAACTCTACTTAATGGTACTATAGGATGTAAGTTCAAGTTTTAAGTTTGTGCTTATTATATTCTATTCCTAAATAACTAAATAACTTTAATTAATAACACAATAGGGAGCAAGTTCAAGTTTTAAGTTGTGCTCATTAATGTTCCATCCCTAAATAACTTTATTTTGACGAAAAATAGGCGGTAAGCTTAAGTTTTAACTTCGTGCTCATTAATCCATTCTCAAATAATTAAATTACTTTACTTGATGACACAATAGCTCGTACGTTCTAAGTTCTAAGTTTGTGCTTATTAATGTTCCATTCCTAAATAACCAGATAACTTTATTTGATGACATAATAGCTAGTAAGTTCAAGTTATAAGTTCGTGTTTATTAATATTTTATTAAATAAATTTATTTGATGACATAATAGCTAGTAAGTTCAAGTTAGTTTGAAGCTCGTGCTTATTAAATTCTGCATTCCTAAATAACAAAATAACTTTATTTAATGTCACAATAGCTCGTAAGTTCAAGTTTTAAGTTCGGAATCATTAATATTCTATTTATGAATAATTAAATTGCTCTATTTAATAACACAATAGGCTGTAAGTTCAAGTTTTAAGTTTGTGCTCATTAACATTATACTCCTAAATAACTTTATTTTATGATACAGTGTACAGTAAGTTCAAGTCGTGATCATTAATATTCTATTCCTAAATACTGTATTTAAGTAAATATTTATTGAAATAGGCAGTAAGTTCAGGTTTTAAGCTTGTTTAAATTAATTCTTTATTCCTAAATAACTCTATTTATGACACAATAGGCTGTAAGTTAAAATTTTAAATTAGTGCTCACTAATATTTTATTACTAAACAACTAAACAACTTTATTTGATGGCACAATAGCTAGTAAGTTCAAGTTTCAAGTTCTTGCTCATTAATATTCTATTCTTAAATAACTATATAACATTATTTGATGACACAATAGTCAGTAAGTGCAGATTTATGTTTGTGCTCATTAATATTCTATTCCTAAATAACTATACACTGTATAACTTTATTTAATAACACAATAGGCAGTAAGTTCAATCTTTAAGTTCGTAGTCCTTAATATACTATTCCTCATTAACTCTATTTAATGACTTAATAGACCGTAAGTTCAAGTTTTAAGTTTTAAGTTTGTGCTCATTAACATTCATTTCTAAACAATATAACTCTATTTAATGACACAATAGCACGTAAGTTCAAGTTTTAAGTTCGTGTTAATTAATATTCTATTCCAAAATAACTAAATTACTCTATTTAATCACACTAAAGTCTGTAAGTTCAAGTTTAAGATTGTGCTCATTAATAATCCATTTCTAAACAACAATATAACCATATTTGATGACACAATAGCACGTAAGTTCAAGTTTTAAGTTAGTGCTCATTAAAATTCCATTCCTAAATAACCAAATTACTCTATTTAATCACACTATAGTCTGTAAGTTCAGGTTTTAAATTCGTGCTCATTAATAATTAATACTAAATAACTAAATAACTTTATTTAATGACATAATAGGGAGTAGGTTCAGTTTTAAGTTTGAGCTCATTTATATTTCATCCCTAAATAACCAAATAACTTTATTTAATGACGCAATAGGGAGTATGTTCAAGTTTTAAGTTTTTACTCGTTAATATTCCATTTATAAATATCTAAATTATTTTATTTATTTATACTATAGTCTGTAAGTTCAAGTTTAAAACTTGTACTCATTAATATTCCATTCCTAAATAACTTAAGAACTCTATTTAATTACTAATAGGGAGTAGGTTGAGTTTTAAGTTGGTGCTCATTTATATTCCATTCCTAAATAACCAAATAACTTTAATGATACAATAGGGAGTAAGTTCAAATTTTAAGTTTGTACTCGTTGATATTATATTCCCAAATGACTAATTTATTCTACTTAATCATACTATAGTCTGTAAGCTCAAGTTTAAAACTTGTGCTCATTAATATTCCATTCCTAAATAACTTAAAAACTCTATTTAATGACACAATAGGGAGTAAGCTCAGTTTTAAGTTTGTGCTCATTTACATTCCACCCCTAAATAGCCAAGTAACTTTATTTAATGACACAATAGGGAGTAAGTTCAAGTTTTAGGCTTGGGGTCGTTAATATTCTATTCATAAATAGCTAAATTATTCTATTTAATCACACTATAGTCTGTAAGTTCAAGTTTAAAACTTGTGATCATTAACATTCCTAAATAACTAAAAAAACTTTATTTAATAACACAATAGAAAGTAAGATTGTGTTTTAAGTTTGTGCTCATTAACATTCCTTTACTAAATAACCAAATTACTCTATTTAATGACTCTATAGTCTGTAAGTTTAAGTTTTAAGTCTGTGCTAATTAATACTCTATTCCTAAGTAACTAAATAGCTCTATTTAATGACACTATAGGCTGTAAGTTCAAGTTTTAAACTTGTGCTCATCAATATTCCATTCCTAAATAACTAAATATCTATTTAATGACACAATAGAAAGTAAGTTCGAGTTTTAAGTTTGTTCTCATTATTATTCCTTTCCTAAATGCAGTAACGGATCGACTTTATTTAATGACACAATAGCTCGTAAGTTCAAAGTTAAAGTTTGTGCTCTATATTTCATTTCTAAATAACTCAAAATCTCTATTTTCAATGACACAATAGGCAGTAAGCTCAAGTTTAAGTTCATACTCATTAATCTTTCATTTATTAATAACTAAATAACTCTATTTAAAGTCAGAATAGGCGGTAAGTTTAAGACTCATTGATATTCTATTTCTAAATGATCAAATAACTTTATTTGATAATACAATAGGGAGTAAGTTCAAGTTTTAAGTTTCTGTTCATTAACATTCCATTCATAAATAGCTAAATAGCTTTATTTGACGACACAATAGCTAGTAAGTTTAAATTTTAAGTTTGTGCTCATAGTACTATATTCCTAAGTAACTAAATAACTCTATTTAATGGCAGAATAGACGGTAAGTTCAGGCTCGTACTCATTAACACTCTATTCTTAAATAACCAAATGAATATTTATTTAATAACTAATTCGAAATTTACGGTTCGGGTTAAATAATTTGCTATTAATTTTGGGTCGGGTCAAGCTGTGGGTCAGAATAATTTTGGCTTAAAAACCATGTCAAATGATTCATAATGAATTTTCAGTCTTAATTCTAGAATAAAGAATCCAACGATATTTGAAAGCACTCTACTTATAATTTAAAAAATTTCTATTACAGATATCCGTGATCTTACTCTCTCGATCGATCATCTCAAGTATCTAATGTACCACCGTATAATTAGCGTTTCGCATCAGTTGCTATTCAATGATTCGCTTAACAAAAAAACCATCACAAATTATTCCTTGAGGCAACTTGATGAAAATAGTGTTAAGCGAATTATTTAATAAACGAGCCTGCATAGGGGACATACTATTTAATGAAAAATGTTTACAATGTTTTGTGAGATTCGTTTTAGATTTGATATTCAAAGAGTATGCCGTAGAAAGCAATTTTATTATCACGCTACAAATAAATTTATTTTTATTGATGCATAATTCACTATTTCTCTATTATTTAATTTTATCTAAAAAAAATTTGAACTAGGGTATGATCATGCATTACTAAAGGACCTTTATAGCTTGCCTAACGTTAAAAAAAGATAATGTTTAAGTTCGTTATCAGAAATCTAATGTACCGAACGTAGAATCTATTTTTAATTTTACTATTTATTTATTA